TATATATATATATATATATATATATATATATATATATATATATATATATATATATATATATATATATATATGGAGAGGATCAAATGAGAACACCTAAAAGGTTGAGAACGCGAAAACAATTCTGGACCAATCATTTTATAAGGGTATATTAGTAACCTTATATAAATATTAATTAATGATTTCCTAAAATCTAGGGATAAGGATTTTAATTACCTAAAAAAATTAATATTTTCTTTTAGTTAATGAGATATATAAATATTTTTTTTATGATTTTTCCCAAAAATAATTTATGACCGTTTCAAAAAAATTACCTAAAAAAAAAATAATATTTCTTTTTATTTTAAATCTGAAAAGAAAATCTTAAAAAAATTATTATTTTCTACTATTTCACGTTTTTGTTTTTCAAAAAAAAAATGAATAGAAATCCAATCCCAAAAAATTCAATGCATTTTTCATCAATTGAAAATAAAAATAGTGTAAAAATTATCATTTCTTCATAAAATGAATACCTCTAATCATAAATAAATACACTCATTCACATGAATACACTACTATTTATAAATAAATACAATCATTCACACATGAATACATTGCAATTCACAAATGAATACACTGTTATTTATAAATTAATACACATTCTATCATATACTGAGTAAATATAATCATAAATAAATACACTCATTCACATTTAATACTACTATTAATAAATGAATACAATCATTCACACATAACTACAATGTCATTCATAAATGAATACACGTGCTATTTAAAAATAAATACAACCATTCATGCACCCCCCTTCATGATCCGTTTTTTATTGTCTATCGACTAGAGCAACATCAAGAGTGAATTGGTACTGTTGAGTTCATCGTAGCCCAAGGTGGATTGAAGGCTTCCTTCCCGTTACTCCCTTTACTGCGCTGCCAAATCAAACAAGAAGAAAAAAAAAGAAGGAACCCTTACCTGTTGAATAAAATACATTTCTATTCCTTCCAAGTTGTTGAAGATGTTCATTCATCCTTTGTCATTACAATCATTTAGGTCATCCGTATTTACTCGACCCATCTAAAAGAAATCAAAGAAATTTTTTGTATTATTGTCAACAAAGTGCTTAACTCATTAACCACATACACTTTTAATCAAAAATTAATAAAGAACGATTATAATCATCGACAAGAAATAAATTTATATTAAAAAACAAACAGAAATACAAATATGCACAGATGAATAAATCACATTCCAAACGCCTCTTATTGACTAAAGAAGTAAGCCTCCTTAACGATTAAACTAAAAAAACATTGCATTCTTCATCTTCTTCCTATTCATTTCAAGCAACAAAACAACACCAAAATCTATTGATTAAGCTCATCCATTTCTATTAAAAAGCAAACCCAAAAACCCACATCAAACTCCACAAATTTCAGTCAAAATAGAAGATAAAAAAGGGAATCAAACAAACACCCACAAGAACAAAAAAAAAAAAAAGAGGAGCCCTTACCTGTTGTTGAATCGGTGCAACCCTTCTCGATCACCAAACAACCAAATGTTGAAGCTTTGTCATCGGAAACCAATTGCAACACGAGCAGGGAGAATTCCCATCGATTTCCCGTAGATTCCTTCACTTCTTGAATGCATTTCACTTGTATGTAAAGAAACAGTAGGAACACAAACTATTTTTGACCACCAGGTCCGTAATCGGCTCCTTTCCTTGCCCTAATACCACCGTATCGCCACCCTTGCTACATTATCCTCCTTCTTGATCTCTCTTTCAGTCACACCCATTCTTTCCCGCATCTTCTAATTCTGTCTAATAACCCACTACATCTAATTTCTCTCAGGATCTGTCATGCTCACCCCCACGATTGGCACACACTGAATATGCGTGTGTGTGTGTCTCGTTGATTCCGATCGACCAAACCCACTATAGCCTGATCATGTTTAATTTGACTAATTTCTGCTCTTTCTGTTGCTTCCATCCTTCTCTATTTCTTTAATCGAACCGAGAATCGGTGGTCTTTTTTTCCCCTCCTCTTCGCGATCAATCTGCCACCACCGAACCCTCCTTCTTTCCCTCTGTTGTTCTTCATTCGCTGCCAAGAATAACCACCAGGAAGGTCTAATTTAGACTGATCCATTGAGACTGATGTACAGATGAGGGAAGCTTACCGTAGGTATAGAGAGAAAGATGAAGTCGAAAATGGGGGAGTGAATGATGAAGTCGTAGGTTTATACAGAGAGAGATTGAGAGATTTTAGGAGTTGTTTAAAATAAGGGAATGATTAATTACCATGATACCCTTTTCTTATTTTTTAATTCAAATTAATTGAATTTAAACATTTTAATAATAACAAAATTTCTATTTAATTATAGCCTTAGATCTAAGATAATAGATGGATGAGATCTGTTCTCGCGTTCTCAACCTTTTAGGCGTTCTCATTTGATCCTACTCCTATATATATATATATATATATATATATATATATATATATATATATATATATATATATATATATATATATATAGGTTCATGTGAGACGGTCTAATTTTGTGAGACCGTGAGACACATTTTTTAAAATTTTTTTTTTAGTTAATACAAGTTCCGAAAATAATATTTAAAAAAAGAATTTTTAGATTTTTCCATTTATTTTGCATTTTAAAATTATTTTTTAGAATATATCAGTGTAATATTCTATTAGAATATTTCATGTATTTAAAAAAAATGGATTTTATTTTTATTTTTTTAGTTAATTCAAGTTCTGAAAATAATATTTAAAAAAAGAATTTTTAGATTTTTCCATTTATTCTGCATTTTAAAATTATTTTTTAGAATATATCAGTGTAATATTCTATTTAAAATATTTCACTTATTTAAAAAAAAAAACGAAATTTTTTTTATTGTTTTTTATTTTTTTTAGTTAATTCAAGTTCCGAAAATAATATTTAAAAAAAGAATTTTTGGATTTTTTTCATTTATTTTGCTTTTTAAAATTATTTTTAGATTTTTGGTTTCACGACACAAAATTAAAATGGTCTCAAATGAACCTGAACCTATATATATATATATATATATATATATATATATATATATATATATATATATATATATATATATATATATATATATATATATATATATATCTTTACTATCTTATAAAAAAAATCTATAATAATAATATTTTTTTAAGACGTCCAAATGATGATGCTGATAGTACAACTAGCCATTAATAAAATAATATTAAATTTTAACCACATTTTGAATTCAAATATTTATCATCAAATCTCCTTATATTTCTCAGCAATTTGATATGGTTCCCTCAAATCCCGGATTCATTCAAATTTTGAACTCTTTTCGATATCTTTAAATTTAGCATGTTAATTTAAATATCCCTCCAATCGCAGATACCTCTTTGTTCCCTTGTCTGCTATAAAGCCCACCGTCTAGGAATAAAAAATGACTTCATCTCCCAAATAACACCATAGTTTGATTATTTTGTCTTCGACATGTACTTTCTTTTGTAACATAACATTTTTGTAGAGGAAACATATCACCGAAAAAATTTACACACCCCGCCGCTTTGCGCGGGTACACTGCTAGTATATATATATATGACCAAAATCCAACAAATAAAAGCTTTTGAATCAAATTCTTAACGACCAAATACAAAATCTTTTGAACCAAATTACGAAATTTGCAATTTTATCTTGAAAATAATATGCAATTCATATGAACAAGAAAAAATGGTACACGTAACCGCAGTCGTAAGTAATTAAATACCATCCTCTCCTATAATTACCTCGATATGTTTGCCCGTCCGCCACCGTCACCGGCTCAAGGTGGACATCACCCAATCACCCGTTTTCTTCTTGCCCTCGTCAATGTAAGCGGTCACATTCCTGAGACATTCCTCGTTCAGTCGACTCTGTGTAATAATCGGAGAAAATCCCCCTTAGGTTTTTTGAAAAGCGAAAAAAACCCTAGGGTTAGTTCTTAGTAGTCTATGGCGGTGATAGTACCGGCGAGCACGAGTTTGTGGGATGGAGTGTTGGAAATGACAAAATCTGCTCAAAGTAAGGGCGCTGACCCTTTGATGTGGGCGGTTGAGCTCTCTTCTTCGCTCTTGTCTGCAGGAGTATCCATGCCTTCAACTAAGGTCGCTGAATTACTCGTTTCTCACATCTGTTGGTCCAATAACGTTCCAATTGCTTGGAAGTTTCTCGAGAAAGCCCTCTCCATTAGAATCGTTCCGCCAATGCTCGTTCTCGCGCTTCTTTCCAACAGGTTTCATTCATGCCGATCGATTCGGTCAATTTTCCTACTCTGAGATTATAATATCGTCTTAGTTACATAACATTTAGAGCATAATTGTACATGTTTTTATTTATTCCTGGAGGATTAGCATAGTGGAAAAATCAGTCTGCTTGAGATTTAATTTAAATTCTTTTACAACTACGAATAAACTCTTTAGCGCTACTTAGAACATGTTACTGATGTTTTGGCTGCTTATGATGTGCATATTGAAAGTGATTTTTTAATGTTGGTTATATTGAATAGTACATTGAAACAAGTGTAAAACTAAACTCCTAAAAGTATGTAAGTAAAATTTCTCTATCATTTTTGTTGCACTTATTGTGAATTGGATTATTTGACCTCTAAATAATAAGATGTCATAAGCAAAAATTGGCCCCCCCAAACACTACAAACTGGTTATTGTGGCTTGAGGCTGCAATAATCAGATAATCACTTTCAAAAATGCACATCCAAACATTCACACAAAGTATGCCTTTCCATCAAGCTTGGTGTTGAACAGCTAGGTGCACCTTGTGGTAGGATGTTCTTGTAGAATTTATTTTTTGTCAGATTATATTATTGTTTGAATTAAGTGGTTATTGGTTATCATAGAGTAATCCCAAGCCGAAGAAGCCACCCTGCTGCCTACAGGCTTTATTTGGAGCTCCTTAAAAGGCACATTTTTCCATTAGCTTCGGAAATTAATGGTTCAAACTATCACAAGTAAGTTTCTTTTCCTCTTTTGGTTTATAAGAATCTCTGCTTTTAGAGGACGGATGCTCTTTCTTGTCATTTAATATGGTTATGATCCATTGTAGTGCCCTTGTATCTCTTTGTAGCTGAATTTGGAGGTAGTTATCATTTGGATATCTATGTCTCTTGAAATTATACTTATTAGCATGTTTTAAATAGGAAAAAGAATGACATTGATAACATGAAATTGCAGGATCATGGAATCTATAAATGATGCTCTTCACCTCTACCAGAAATTTGGTCTGGAGTCAAGTGAACCTGGGATTATCTTGGTTGAATTTATATTTTCAGTAGTGTGGCAGTTACTTGATGCGTCACTGGATGATGAAAACTTGCTGGAACTTGTACCTGATAAGAAGTCTATATGGCCTATCAAATCACTCGAGATGGAAATCGATGATTTTGGAGAAAAGAAAACTGATTCTCACTCTCACCAGGGACTCTACAAAATGAACACCACAATGGCCATTGAGATTATCGTACAACTTTTCCGTAATAAAGCAACTTCCAGAATTTTGAACCTGGCACGCCAGAATATGTTAGAAACAAGACCTAAAATCTGTTGCTGTATTTTTTTTTATATTTTAATTTCTAATCATACTTTTTTTTTTTTTTGCTAATTCATACTTTTAGGTCTGCACATTGGATGTCTTTCATTCATCATTTGAGGCTGCTTGTAGCAAACTCAACAGCTGTGAGAAATTTAAAAGATATAACTCCCGAGGCTCTTTTGCAGTTAACATCTGATAGCCCTGTACACTGTCCAGGGAATGCAAAGGCAAAACAATATCTCTGCAACAGTTTCATGCAATAGCTGCTTGTGGATCACTTATATCATCTGCAGGCCAAAGTCATGGGGCTAGCCGTTCAGCTATTTGGCTTCCAATTGATTTGTTCCTTGAAGACACTATGGATGGTTATGTAGTGGCTGCCACCAGTGCATCTGAAACTCTCACTGGTACAGTTATTTATTTATTTATTTATTTTGTGGAGGTGTTGAGTTATAAGTTTCACATCAAGAAACATCATTTTTAAGGCCATTTGATTGAATGGATTTGTGTTGTAGATCTGCTGAAAGCTCATCAGGCAATTACCCAAGCCTCCTGGCAGGACACTTTCCTTGGCTTATGGATTGCAGCTTTGCGACTTGTTCAAAGGGTAAAATCCTGTAACACTTTCCACATTAGTAGTTCATAAACCTTTTACTTGTATATATAGTTTACAAAAAAATTCAGGGGCGGGTCTACCCTTATATGAACTGTTGCATGTATTTATTTCCCAGTCTAATTTGGCCTATAGTGTATTCTTTATATAGTCCAATTTAAATGCCGCATGGCAGTATGTGGTGTTGCTGTAAAGCTCATTGATTTACATGTATACCCTCAATCAGAATATTATAAAAAATATGAACCATGGCATGTATGACCCAGTCAAATTTAGCCTGGCGTGTATTTTTCATACGCATTTTATACCCTGTTGTACGGCATTCTGCAGTGTTGTAGTGATTTGATTTACATGTATACCCTTCATTCTGTTTGATTTTTTTTTTTAAAGGAAGGGGAAGCTGTTGAGGGTCCAGTACCTCGCCTTGATACATGTTTATGCCTGCTATTATGTACGACAACTCTTGCAGTTGTTAATATTATTGAAGAAGAGGAGAATGCTTTGCTTCAAGAAGATGATGATAAACATGCACATCAAGGGAGCGAAACACAAATTCTTGGAAATTGTCGCAAGAGCCTTGTTTCTAGTCTACAACAGTTGGGTGATTTGGAAGGCTTACTGACCCCACCACCATCCGTGACTTCCATAGCAAATCAAGCAGCTGCAAAAGCTATTATGTTTTTCTCGGGTATACCGGTTGGAAGTGGTTACCTTGATGGTGTGAGCTTCAATGACATTCCAGTCAATTGTGGTGTGTAAAATATTTTCCATCTTTTTTACTCAAGGTATCTGCCTCAGTAAAGCTTATTGTTAGAATCTACTTTCTTGTTTGCAGCTGGAAATTTGAGACATCTGATTGTTGAGGCATGCATTGCAAGGAATCTTTTGGACACATCAGCATATTTGTGGCCTGGCTATGTGAAGGGACACAGCAACCAAATACCTCGTGCTGTTTCTGGCCAGATGCCTGGCTGGTCTTCATTGATGAAAGGGTCTCCTTTGACTACTCAAATGATGCATACTCTGGTATCAGTTCCAGCTTCAAGGTATGCTAGTCCTTGTGGTTTTCAAAGTCTTGATTTTATGTTTTAAATTCCATGCCCACCAACAAACAACGATGTTTTAATTTTCATATTTTAAACCCTGGTTTGGGAACTGAATTTGAGATCTTGGATTTTAATGGAAGCTTAGCAGAGATCGAGAAAATATACGGAATTGCAATCAACGGTTCAGATGAGGAGAAGATTTCTGCTGCAACTGTCCTATGTGGAGCATCCCTGACCCGCGGTTGGAATATACAGGTGATTCTTACTCAAATTCATGTATATTTTTGGTTTATTTCACTCTTACAAGTCTAAAGTCTTCATGGGTGACATTTACAGGAACATATTGGGTCTTTCATCATTAAGCTATTGGCACCTCCAGTTCCTGTGGATTATTCTGGGAGCGAGAGCCATTTGATAGTTTATGCTCCCATGCTAAATGTTCTTCTTGTTGGGATATCATCTATTGATTGCGTTCAGATTATTTCTTTACATGGCTTGGTAAGTAAACTTTGGTTTGTGCTTCTTGATTCTGATGTATCATTAAGCAGGTAATGGCAACATGCTTTACTCTTTTTACCAAGATAGGCAATGTTTACATTCATTTTTACCAATAATATAGCATCCTTGAATAGTGTAAACATTAATTTATTTTTTACCCATAATAATTTATTTCTTCAATGATAGCATCAACATGTAACCAGTAAAATACATTGACCATATTGGCAAAGTAATGTACACATGTTGCTATTATGGGTAATATATATATATATATATATATATATATATATATATATAAATTGCTAAAATGGGTACAAAATAAACTGCATTGCCCATAACGATAACGAGAGTAAAGTGTGTTGTTATTCCCTGTAAGCTGATGTTGATATTTTATATTTCCAGGCCCCACATCTTGCTGGTGTGTTGATGCCCATATGTGAGGTTTTTGGATCATGTTCGCCTACAGTTTCTTGGACACTTCCAACCGGGGAACATTTATGTCCCCTTGCTGTATTTTCAAACGCATTCACTCTTCTTCTAAAGCTATGGAGGTTTCATCAACCACCTCTTGAACATGTGATGGGGGATGTAACCCCTGTAGGATCCCAGCTAACACCAGAGTTCCTCTTGCTGGCACGCAATTCCCAGTTAGCATCATGTGTCAATTCACTTGATCCAAAAAACAGAAGGGGGATTTTTGGGAGGAGTAATCTGTCATCTTTAGAGCCGATATTTTTGGATTCTTTTCCAAAACTGGCGTTTTGGTACAAACAGCATCAAGCGTGTATTGCTTCAACTCTCTCGGATCTTAAACCTGGAACTTCTGTGTACCAAATTTTTGATGCCCTTTTGAATATGATGTTTAGAAAAATGAATAGAGGTGGTCAGTGTACTTCAACATCTGGGAGCAGTAGTTCATCTGGATCCATACCGGAGGATTGCACTCTTCGTCTTAAGCTTCCTGCTTGGGATATTCTGGAAGCTGTTCCTTTTGTGCTTGATGCTGCTTTGACAGCCTGTGCTCATGGAAGATTGTCTCCCCGTGAACTCACTACAGGTTAGTGTTTCTAACTTATCCTATCCAAGTCTTGTAAAGCCTTCAAGTTGCATTTCTTTTATTGTTTAAGATCTGCCATGTTGAATTACTCATGATAAATTAGTTGCTTGGCATATAATACTTATTGTTATACATACTATATCCTCCCACATGATAATGCTGTATGAGTTATTAGACTTGGGTGTTGTTTCTTTTTGATGTAATGGATGGGGGGGACAAATTTTATTCAGTAAGCTATATATAGCCATATAGGTGTTTCGTTTGACGTAATGTAGAAAAAATGACTTAATAGAGAAAGTGAAGAAAAGGAGGTTTTCCCCATTAATAGAGGGTACAATCAGAAGAATAGAAGGAAAAAATTTATGACAAGTTTGTAAAAGGATAGGGATGAAATGGGAAAAGCCTCATTTTCCTGACTTCCTCTATTAAGTCGTTTTTTTCCGGTTTAAGTAAAAAAAACACTCATATGTAGCTTATCATATTAAGTCTTGTTATTAAGTCCATTAAGTAAAAAAGAAACAACCCCTTAGTTTCTTTAGGACACTTAAAATATGATATACCCACAAGAAGAGTGAATAGCACAATTTTTTAAGTATAAATGTTCTTCTACATGACTCAACACATCCTGTGAGTTTCTTTTAAAAATGACGGCAAGCGAGTTAGAAATACGAGTTTAATATGTGTGGAATGTTTGTTTTACCAGGACAGGAAAAGAAGTGATTGCTTCTGCAAGTTTGTTACTTGTAGAAAAGTGTCGATAAAAATTGGTTACATCAATTCTAGTCAACATGTTATTTTTTTTATACAAGAAAAAGTTTAGCATTCTTTTTCTTTTTGAAGCATTGCTGTTTCTTGTTAAAATTTCTGGAATGAAATTAGCAACTTGTGTTTGTATCAATCATCATTCCTAATATATGTTTCAGGGCTGAAAGATCTTGCTGACTTCCTTCCTGCATCCATGGCAACTATAGTAAGTTACCTTTCAGCAGAAACAACACGGGGTCTATGGAAGCCTGCAGCCATGAATGGGACTGATTGGCCAAGTCCTGCCACAAGTTTAGCCATGGTCGAGAAAAACATGAACAAAATATTGTCCGCCACTGGTGTCGACGTTCCAAGTCTTTCTGCAGGTCTTTTTCAGTTTGTATGTATGGCCCTTTCTGGTGACATTTTCAGTTTTTGTTTTTTCAAATCTGTGTTTCTTGCGTTGCAGGGGGGACTACTCCAACACTTCCTTTACCTATGGCTGCCCTAGTGAGCCTGACAATAACCTATAAAGTGGATAAAGTCTCTGAACCTGTCCTAAACCTAGCTGCCCCAGCCTTAAACACCCTCGGGGCAAGCTGCCCGTGGCCTTGCATGGCCATCATCTCTGCTCTTTGGGTTTCAAAGGCCAAACGTTGGACTGATTATCTGGTTTTCTCCGCATCCCGGACTGTATTCCATCACAGCAGTGACGCCGTTGTCCAGCTTCTGAGAGTTTGCTTCTCATCAGCCATCGGCCTACCCATCTCCTGTGGTGGTGTCGCCTCCGCCGGTGGTGCCGGTAGTCTTCTCGGCCATGGCTTCGGGTCCCACTGTTCTGGCGGGATTTCTGCAGTGGCCCCCGGAATCCTCTACTTGCGAGTCCACCGTAGCGTGCGAGACATCATGTTTATGACGGAAGAAATCGTGTCTTTATTAATGCATACAGTCAGAGATATCGTATCATTGGAAGTACCGATTGAAAAACTGAGAAAACCCAAAAACGGGATGGTGATGAGATACGGAGAGGTTTCATTATATTCAGCCATGACCCGTATCAAGCTAGCGGCCTCCCTCGGGGCCTCCCTTGTCTGGATCACGGGCCGGTTAAATTTGGTACAATCTTTAATCAAAGAAACGTTACCTTCGTGGTTCATATCCGGCCACAAATCTGACCCGAGTAAAGGTGACTCAGGCGGGATGACCGGAATGCTGATGGGGTATGCGTTAGCATACTTTGCGGTGCTTTCGGGGGCGTTTGCGTGGGGCGTCGACTCCACATGTTCTGCATCTAAAAAACGGGCAGTTATTCTTGGGGGGCATTTGGAATTTATGGCGAGTGCACTTGATGGGAAGATATCACTTGGGTGTAATAAAGCAACATGGAGGGCGTATGTGTCGGGTTTTGTGAGCTTGATGGTGTTGTGTGCACCCAAGTGGGTAGGTGAGGTGGATGTGGAAGTTTTGAAGAGGCTAAGTAAGGGGTTGAGGAAGTGGGATGAGGATGAGCTTGCTTTGGCATTGCTTGGTATTTCTGGAGTGCATGCAATGGGTGCAGCTGCTGAAATGATAGTCAAATCTTCAGTTTAATCAGGAGGTAGGAAGGACTGGGCTAGTTTGTTTCTTTGTGTACATATAAAACAAACGCCCTTACGCTAAAAGGTCCATTGGTGGTAACTATATAGTCTTAGACTGAGCACAGCACAGCACAACACTGCACACAGGAAAGGAAATATTTACCCAGATGTTTGTGTACTGGTCATGACGTTAAGTTTGTTACATGTCCTTTCTGTTCTTTATTGGTAAAACAAGTATCATTCATGTCAATGAAACCGTTTTGTTAGTTAAATTGTGTATTAGAAACAGAGTTAACTTTATTATATGTTTTATACAACTCTAGTCTAGTGTTAGGGCTCATACACCACGATGAAACATTGGCCGATCAAGTACACCAAACATACACTCAAAACTGTGTAGAGCTTTACCGCCTCACCTCAAAGAGCAACAGCAACAGAATCAGTAGTGTGAATTTTGTCTGATCAAAATCTCATCTATATTAAGATACCCTGTGAAACACTGCTCTTTAGTTGGTTAATCATGTGAGAAATTTTGACTAGGAACAAGAGAGGAGTCAGCCACTAAGTTAGGTTGATGGGTATGAGTTGGATTAACTTGAAATATGGTCCTAAATCTTGTATTCCAGTTAAAGCCGCTTGAAACTGATGTATATCCAATTTTCACATTCCCATAGCTTTATATACATACAAACCGCCCAAGTCCCAACCATTTTATTTGTTCCATATTTAAACCAAAACAAAGTTTACTAAATGCCAAGACAAGCAACAATTGTGTTTGTGTGTGAATGAACTTTTTTGTGCCTCATGGATGGCATCATTATTCGCAAATATTACTTTACATATGATACTGCTATTATAAGAGTGTAATCCTTTTGTTAACATTTATAATAAACAAATCTCAACAATAACAAACAAGAATCTACCGTTAATCGTCTATCCTCCTCCTGGCTTCAAGCAACACACAACTGTGAGACGCCATTTCATATGCAGGTGCTCCAGGCATCATCTCAGGAATGGAATCACCTGTTACAGAAAAGAACCCCGGAAACGGAAGACTTGTGTCGACCAAACGAACCCATGCCATGTCAGCAGGAGGTAGCGGCACAGTAGTAGTCACCGCCTCATCTCCGCCATTGAAGGCGGCAAACATGTCACCATCCAACATGTTTTCATCATCTCTGTTTATTTCTTTCTCAACCTTCAAACTAACCGCTAAAAACTTGCTAGTTGGATCTTCCCAATTTGGTGGGGACAAATTGGTCCCATACCAGTCGATATTTTCAACCTTTAAAAACTCCCGCCTCTGAAGAAGATCACTACGCCTGATTTTTAACGCACTCAAGAATGAAATGAATTCTGTTGTTTGGATCGCGAAACCGGTTTGTAACGCATTCCAATTGAACGGTTTCCGATCACCTCGGTTGACCGAACCCCCTGACGATTGACCGCATTCATCTCCCATATTCAAAACAGGAACACCCAGAGAAATATATAAAATAAATAAATAATTACGGATCTGTTTCAGTCTAGTTTCAAGAACACTTTTCCTTTTTGTAGCACCTTCTTCCCCACAGTTCCAGCTTAACTCACTCGCGTTACTAAAACTCACCGAGTCAACAAGAGTCAACCCGTGGTTCCTTGACACGAAATTGAAACAAAAGGCGGGCCCACGACCATTTAAGAAGATATCACCACTCCCACATATCCGTGTCGCGAGATTACTAACAAGAGTCTCGCCTCTCAGATAATTTCTGGTATCCCTGAAAAATTCCGCGTTCATTTCCGCCCATCTTTTCCAATGTGGAAACTGGATTTCTTTTGTGGATTTTTGAATTGGGTCGAAAGAATCTGCTATAAGTTTGGTGTTGGAAAGTATAGGATCAAAAGATATTGCTTCAATTAAAGGTGGACGAGAGAGAATTTCACCATTAAATCCACGTAACATTGAAGAAGCATTGATGAAACAAAACCCATCGATATGATACTCAATCACCCAATTTCTAAGACTGTCTAATATCAGCTGTTGAACAACAGGATGCGCACAATTCAGTTCGTTTTTAGTTGAAAGATAATAGGAAGGTCTATCAATCTTGGTCAACGATGCGGTTTGACTAGTATGGGTGAGGACAACTTCCATTAAGACCTCGATTCCATTTGCGTGTAATCTCTTTACCATCTCCTTCATTGACTGAATGGTCAACGGATTCTGTGGTGAAAAGAAATGAGATGGGAAATATGGTCCAACTTGTTTATCGAATGGAACTATTGGCTCTAATAAGATCGCATTAACACCAAGATTCTTGAAGTGATCTAACTTTTCACTAACACCCAAAAACGTCCCTCCAACTTCGTTTGTCAAGTTGCTAGATGGATCTTTTGTGAAATCCGTTACATTTAACCGATAAACCATTAGTTTCTCCATGGGTAAACAAGGGCGAATCTCATCACTCCAATCAAAAGTAGGTTGCTTACAAATTTCACCAAGAAACTTCTCTCCTATGACTTTAGCATATGGATCTAATAGGACTTGATGCTCATAAGACTTGTCTTGACCACTGTTTCTGATTCGATACCCGTATGACACGAAGTTCATGTCAATGTCCATTGATGCATGCCAGATGTCACCCGATCGATTCACATAAGGATCTAGATCAATTTCTAAAGCGGGGTTTTCTTTAGATTTATTGTCAAATAAACATAGGATTACACTTTCGGCATTTCTTGAGAAAAGGGCAAAGTTGATGCTGCCATCAGCTGAATATGAAAGGCCAAGTGGAGCAGGAGATCCTGATCTTATACCTACTGGGAAACAGAAATTTGTCCTTCTATGGCTTCTGATCTCGATCTTTTCACCACCAAAACGAGACTTTAATAAGAATGAAACATAGAAGGGAGCTAAACTTGCATCAAATTCCAATTCAGTGGAAAGCTTGTTTAAGGATTTATTCACAAAAGGGGTTTCAAAGATTCCAGAATCACTCGACTCCAGAGGGATTAGTGATGATGAATCAGATCTAAATATGCCCCAACTCATGATCACATCATCATCATTGTCATGCAAAGAGGAAACTTCAAGATTCGCCCTATACTTGTTGTTTTTTAACCCGCTAATAACCTTCACATGGCCGCCCTTTTCTGTTCTAAACAAATAAGTGGATAATTTGTTGGCAGGTTGAATAACAGGAAAAGTTGAAGCAGCCAATACATTTATTCTACGAGTGTGGCAAGAATCTTTTATCATGTTCTTAGCAACTTCTCCAAAAACTAGGTTTTGTTCCACATTGATTCTCCCTGGTGTTTGTGCCACTCTTCTACCATATTTGCAACTATCAGCAATAATCAACTTGGAGACTTTGATAGTTCCACAGGTTAGGCAAGAAGGTTGAGTTGCAGAGGAAAATGAAATCATGGCTGTTGATATGTCTGAATGAAGTACAACCCACGAGTGCAGACAAAAAACTTGCAGAAACCAAATTATTCTACTTAAGTATTGATCTCCCTCTGCTTAAAGTGAGAAGAATCAGCACCCTGAACAACAATTTTAATAAAAAATGTAGGAAAATTACATTCTAATCCTGATTACAGATGGTACTTGATCAAGACAGATACTTTCATCCAGTCCACCAGTGAAATATAGAAATAACAACATTAAATGTTCAATGATGTTGATAAATAAGTAAATAACATAGCGTACTCCTTCCATTTCATAATTTGAGTCCACTTTCCATATTGTGCAGACATTAAAACGTGATCTCACACAATCTGATATTGGACAAAGAAGTCACTTTTAGCAAAATGGACAATCTTATCATGTAACAAAAGGATTAGCGCATGGAAATATAGAATGTTTTCAAATGAAAACTTTAAACAGATCATTAATATACAACATCAGTTACGAAAACCTAGGATAATCAATATCAGAACTGTCGATCAATACTAAAACCTTCTAGCATAAGCTATAGATTGTCAAATATGACAATGAAGAGTTGAAGTGACTCAGACGCATTCATAATAGATGCTAAGAAATTCAAGGAGACAAAAGAGAATTTAAAGTAGAAGATACTGAAAAACTCACAGCATTGAGATTGATGAGTAGCGGGAAAGCAGCATTTTAACAGAATCTCCGCCAAGATGATGATGAACTATGGTAATTCGATTCAAATGCGTATGAATTTTGGGATTTAGTGAAGAGTGAGAGTGTGCGAATTTCAAAATTATATCTCCGGTTATGAGGGCCGCAGATTTGTGACGTCCGTCTTAACAGGTGGTGTTTGGATGTGAGCCCTCGAACTCGAAGGAATTTTTTTTTATTTTTTTTTTTCACAATAAAATCAAATAATTATTTGAACAGATTACAGAAATGGTCCCTATGTTATATAAAAATTTGTACTTTGAATCCAACTTTTTAGAACTTGGGCACGGAGAGTCCTTTAGGTTTCAATTTTTTGCATGGTTGGCCACTTTAGATGCCGCTGACCACAAAGAGGTTGAGAGAAAGAGGAAGTCGGCCAAAGGGAGAAGTGAAGAACATCCCATATACTTATTTTTTTCGTGGATATTGAAAAGAAGGGTAGTTGGTTTAACCATTTTGGTCTATGTAATTGCAAAGTATACATCAGCATAAAGTTTTGAACTTTCTGACCTTGGAGATTTGTTGAAGTAGAAAACTATCTCAAAATAAAGTTTAAACCGAAATTCTGTCAATTTTGTAGGTGTAAACTAAATCTAGGAGCAAATGGAATAATCGAACATCAAAATGACAAACATGAGGGATCAATTGCCAAAGCTTCTGATCGATTATCCCTAATCGATCAATAATATAGCCTTGATGACCTGAGTTGGTCACAATTGCTCTGGGTAAAACGGCGATTACCTAGTTACATGTCTTTCACAAATTTTGTTTATGTTGTTATTTCTGGTAAACGTTTTGCTGCTTGTGGGTAATTATGCATCGATTTTCATAAATCGTTAGGAAAACCTTTTGAAACCATACGGTTGGTACCTTACTTGAGATTTTGATGATACATCATACATGTACAAAGTTTCTTAAGAGCATACATTATATATATATATATATATATATATATCAAAATCAAATCTACTGTAATAAATAAATGTTTTTTTGCCACATGTCATCTTCTCATTCATTTAGACACATGACATTTTCTAAAATTTTTAAATTTTCTATTTTCCACTTGTCATTTTATTGTATTTTTCATTTTATTAAATTAAAGTTCCATATTTAATATATAAGGTAATATATATGTAAGACATTTATTAGAAAGAGTCTATATATGTAATGTATTCAATATATTAAAGCCTCATTAATTTTAATAATTCAAAAAATTTCTCATTTTTCTTATAAATTCAAAATTTTAAATTTAATTTTTTTAAATAACTCATGTAATACATGGGTCTCACACCTAGTGTTTTATGTTATTGCAGCAACATTATATATATGATGAGTAGAACATAAATAGAATACTATTAAGAGTAAATAGTAAAACTAAGCAGTCTTAGTATGACACATGGAGCCAATAAAGTCATTTTTATTCGGAAAATAAAAATAATTACGCTACAGTAAATTAATAAATACAAATTAAATATAAACATATTAATATAATGATTTATTTGACTCCTGCAGTTTATCCAAAATGCTGAAAAATTAATCAAAACTGAACCGAATAAATCATCCTTATTTGGGTTAGCCTAACCGGATTGTTTGAAAACCGGATAACCTTGACCGACCCGAAGGGCTTTTTTTTGGGTATATGTAGGATATGAAGAGATGTATGAACAAAGGTTAAAAAATGTACGTTTTTAACCTTTTTTTTTTTAATATGATTTGATTCTTGAATTTACGTTTGTGGTGCATTGAAAGCATATGAGCATCCAAGTAATAACGAGCTAGGTCGGGTTGGATGTTTTCTACCTCCCCAGATGGAGGTGATGAAGAAGCCTCAGATTTGGGTATGAAATGAGGATAGCAACGCTTTAATATGATAAGATATTAATCCTTGGTATTTGCGTTAACTCACTCCATATATATAACCACTTTGTCAAAGCTCTGAAAATTAATGGTCAGATGTAAAATTAAGTTTATCATCAAAATAATCTGATTTTCCAACTTTACCCTTTACTCATGTAGTCTTGTCCACAGAAGAGATGAGATGGTATGCAGAAGAAAAAAGAGTTGGTAGTTGGTAGTTGGTGCGTGTTAAGTGTTAAGTGGTATTTGATGAGGTAGGTTAATTAACTGTACACAATTAATTGACTCGACTCAGACTCGCTATATCAACTAACCGAGTTCCTAGATTTACATATAATACACAACATACGCAAATTAGTCACAGCTTGTCCTGCGCCGTTATCACTGTCGGACCTGCTTTAGAAGTAGAACCTCCCTTGGACGACGACGTCTCTGAAATAAATTGAAAACCGATTTTTAGATCAAGAATACACAAGAAACCGCACCCAAACCCAAGTTCAAACTGCTGAAATACCCATTCTGTCCTCAGAAGTGTCTTCTTCTTCTTCTTGTTTTTGTTTACCATGATGATGTCTATGAAAACTCCTCTTTGTCAACACCAGTGGATTGTTTTCTTCCTCATCAATCACCCTCGGTCTCTCAAACTCTATTGCACCCTTGAAAACCGGGTGCACGTATGCATCTTGCAGATACGTTTTTATGTTGAGGTTTGGTTCTGTTGCCTTCTCTAGTGTGTCTTTTTTCATTGCATCCTGTCACATCAATCAATCAACATCATTCCATTCAGTATTAAGTATTGTCACTTTAACGCATAATTAATTAAAAATATGTTTTTACCTCTAACGGGAATTTCTTGAATTGAGATTCAAAGCGCCCCTTGCAAACTCTAAAAAACCAGAAGGTCAAGATAGGAAGTGGAATCAGGAAATATGTTGCGTTGTATGCCTTTTTGGTGTTGAGCAATCCCAAGAACAGAAACTGTGAAAGTATCAATCCAATGATTATCCGGCGATGAACATCTGGCCAAAATGTCGCTCCACTCTCATACTTCTGATCGTACACATTGATAATCTATATATAACACATCCATTTTCAAAAAATCAGATATAATATATATATATATATATATATATATATATATATATATATATATATATATATATATATATATATATTTGTTTGTTTATTTATTTATTGGGGTGGGTAGCTGGGGGTGGGGTACCTGATGGCGAAAAACCAAAAAGGAGAAGGCAAAAAAGACAACAATGAATGGGAGTAGAACAGGGGTGACAGTGGAGTAGACTAATCCAAGCAAAAAGTATAGTTGTATGCGAGGCTCTGATATTGCCCAAGTCAAGGAACCAGGATCCATGGCTTGTTCTCTGTCCTTTTCTGTTTTCACCAAAAACGTGTTTTTCAAGTGAAAAACCACCAACGGAACCAGTCTCAGAATCTCTGCAGCTATGCCTGACCAACCATCTACCATCACATATGTTATGAAGAATGTGGCCTTCATTGGGATGGATACACCAACGGTTTGTGGAATCCTGCATTCATCCACAACTTGTAATTTTTTTAATATTCATTCCATCACCCAAATACTTGGGAGATGCAAATTAATTGTAGAGATGGGAAAAACGTATCATACATACATGGTTGGGGACTGATTCAAGAGTCCTTGAAGTTGCTGAAGAGCAGTTCCTGTAATGATGCTTCCAAGAAACACATTCACAAGCAAAAATAAATAATATTTTCCAGCTGACCGAGTCTCCAAAGCCGATAATGCAGTAAACCCCTCTATTTTTGACATCGTCATTATGATTGTTGGAAGAAGAATCAGAAATATTTTTAGTATAATTCCAGGAAGGTAACCTTGAATGATAGCCTTCACCGATTCACTGCAACAAAACACAATAAATTACATTTCTGCTCCTTCACTACAGCTGATTGTTTCAAAAAATTACATTTTTTGGTCCCTGTTCCAAGTAAATTGACTATAGATCATAAAATTACATTTTTGGTCCCCGAGTATTAACTGTTTTGGTCCTAAAAACTATTCTCTTGCACTTTTCCAACTTGTTTAAGGTTCTTGGACTTGGTCCCTGTTTCAACAAAAACGACTACTTTTGATTATAGCTGATTGTGGTCCTAAAATATACTCATCATATTACTTGGACCAGGGACAAAAAAAAACATTACAAAAACCTGCAAAAGAAAACTTTTTGGGAACAAAATTTTAAAAATCAGCTATTATACTCTTACGTGAACCTCGAATAAAAACCGAAAACGTAATTTTCTGTTAAAGCTGAAAAGTTTACTTACATTTCAATAAGAGGCTTCATATAGGGAAGATACTTCTGAATCGACTCG